GGGGGGGGGGGGGGGGGGGGGGGGAGATCATCTGTCGGTCATAGTTTAACGGCGCCGTTAGGATGGATGTCACCTGCTTCAAGCCTTCTGGAAAGCCTCCAATGTTTACAAGCCAATGATAGGGGGAGGGGGGGTGGGGGGGTGGTTGTACACAGTCTGGGGAAACAGTAGTCAAAACAAAGGGTTGAGCACAGTAAAGAAGTAGGAGGGTGTTAAAAGCCGTCCCACCAGCCAGGGGGTGAACCGCGAGGATGGGGATCTCTGACTCGCTTTACAGCCATCGTCAAAGGACGGAGCCAGTTTTTCATCAACTTGAGAGCTTTACAGCTGGATGATAAAAGTCTTTCAAGGACATCTACTATACAAGTCCAAGGACAGCACAGAGGGTCGCTGTAAACGCACGCAAACACCAGACGGGGATTTATTGGCCGATATCCGAGTTTCACGTTCACGTTGAGCATCTAAAGAGAGCAGCTTGTGTTAAACTGACTGAAAATCCCACATCAAGAATGAATAAAGCGCGTTGAGAAAGAATAAACTGACGCGAATGCTCAGACTGATGCCTCCTCCTTCCTCCCTTTTCTCACCCTCGTCCTCCATCCTGCTGGTGTTAAACAGCTCCTGCTCTCAGACCAGTATGGCATCTCTACTTCCTCATAAAGCCCTGATAATATCAGAAGATAGGCAGTGTACACACACACACACACACACACACACACACACACTAAAGTTTCCCATACTGCAGCAGATCCAGGTGGCGTATTAATGCCAGCCGGAAATCTTTACTGTGTCACGTGTGACGGACCTGTGCTGCTGGGTGTTCATTAAACGTCGTGTGTACACTGTGGTTAAAGTTTTGCCTCGTCTCAGGAGCTTCACCCAACATCCTCTGTGACACAAGCTCAGCTAATGCAAAGCGGCAGAGACGGCGAAGTGATTCAAATATATTAGAAGCAGGAACGTTAAATACGTTCATCGAGGTTTTCTTCCTATTGTAGAAGGGATGTTTTAGAGCTTTTTGATTGCTGTATAGTTGAGCTGAAAGGCCGCAATTATATTGTCACTTAATTCATCATTTCAGTCATTTCTTCACTGGTTCCAGACGATAAAATATGAGGATTTGATGTTGTTCTTTGTCATGTGACAATTAATATCTTTAGGTTTGAATGTGTCACTTTTAGGCCGAAATTAATTAATTAATTGACAATAAAATTGATTTTTTATTTGCATCCCTAATTAGCTGGTTTTCCATGTTTTATATCATTTTAAATTCAATATCTTGGTGTTTTGGACTGTCAAAGAATTTGAGGATGTTTGACAATTATTTTTGACACATCCTGCATTAAATTACTGAGAAAGAATAATCCACAGAATAACTGATGTAAAATATATAATCTTTAGCTGCGGCTCTGCTGTAAAGCACATTTTGTACATATGCTTAATGTGTCTTCACAAAACTAAATGACGACTAGGACGGAAATGATGAATCTATTAGTTGATTGACAGAGAATTAACTGGCATCATCTATTAATGAATTTGTCTTTTCTTTTCTCTGAATGATCTGGTTCCAGCTTCTCAAGTGGGATATTTTGCTGGTGTTCTTGGACTTCTATGATATTAAACTGAATAACTTTAGGTTGTGTCATCTGGACATGTTTCACTAGTTATTGCCATGTTACGACCCAAACAGATTCATCGAGAAATGAATCAATTGTGTAATAACTGAACTTAAGTGAAGTGAAAGTGACAATGTTTTACAAAACTAGGCTCACGAGCAAGCAGCTGTCTGTCGACTATTGCTGCGTCCTTCGACTTGGAAAATAAATGAAGACAACACCGCATTATTTAACCATTAACAACGCAACACTTTAATAGATTCATCTCAAAAAGGAACCTATAAATGATATTCAAAAAAAGAGAGGGAGCCTTTGTTACACGAAGGAAACCAGTAGTGACTAAGGCAGAAGGATATCTAGAGAGAGAGACTGGGAGCTCATCACTGGTGAGTAACTGGGAGGAAGCAGCATTCCACACAGACTTCGCATTCCTCTGCTATGTGACGTCCTTCAGTACAGCTAAATTAAGAGGAGGAGGAGGAGGAGAGTGCTGGCTTGTGCCCCTGAGTAGGACTCTGCGGCCCCATCTGCCCAGCATGAAGCCGTTCGTCACTAGTGAGCGCTCAAGCAGTAAGAAGGGTCCATGTGCCTCTCTGGGTGCCTGATGTCTGAAGCAACAGAAACAAAAACGCACTGAAGCAAAATACAGAAATGCACACGCTGAAGTTGAGGTCCCCCAAAAAACAACAGGTCAGGATGAATGAAACATGAACTGCAGGATGCTCCTGCTGAGCCTCAGACGAGTGTGTGTGTGCAACCACTTGAGCTGCATCACACACACACACACACACACACACACACAATGTGCAGACGCTGTAACAGACGATATGTCATGCACGTAGCCGCTGATACTCGAGACTCGTCAGTGAATACGTGTGTCAGCGGCCGGGTGGGTGAGGGGTGCACGACTTTATGGTTTAGTGCGCGAGGGGCTTTCATAGCAAAAGTAAAACGGCAAGACCAGGAACGCTTCCCGTATTTTAAACAAAGCAGAGCCTTGAAGCACTGACGCAGATGGCAGCCTCTTTCAAAAAGAAGAGCAACTCCTTTCAAAAGAGGAGAAAAAATAAATATTTGAACGGCTCCGTCGAGCCGGCGTAATCCCAGCTTCCTGCCAAACAACATGCCTGACACAGGAATCCTGAAGTCGATCTGGCACATAAGAAGCCTTGTGTTACTGGCAGAGACATACAGACATGTTGTATTTTAGAAGACCTGCTGCAGTATAAACAGCTTCTTCCACACACATATGCTGGACGTGTCAGCCCAGTCCGGCAGAGATTTGCATCTCCATTACAACAGGGCTACCTGCCTGAATGTGTGTGTGTGTGTGTGTGTGTGTGTGGGTGTGTGTGTGTGTGTGTGTGTGTGTAATTATGTAACACATTTCATTTCCTAGACTCTTCACAATCAAAGTCCCCCATTTGTTGTTTTTGCTACTGGAAAGAGCTGAACACAGACAGACTTTTAAAAATGTCTTTCTCTCTGGTCTGTCAACACATGCTTGTATGAAGGAACGAAGGGGGGGGGGGGGGGGTCACAGAGATGGTCCATTTTGGGCACGACTCAGCATAACTCGTAAGTACGCGGACGTCTGCTGCACAGAGCCTATCTGTACACACTCTGGTGCGTAAAATTTACGTCACGCGGACCCTCAAGTACTCGCCGAATGGAAATGCAAATCAGCTCGGCATGGTTTGACTCGGCAAAGCCAAAAGTGCTGTTAGCTGCGTTGTTGTGTGCTTTTTCTACAGAAATAGGCTGGAAAAAAAAAAAAAGGAAAAAAAAAAGGTTTTTGTGGCCATATTAACAATCCAGGGCTACAGTAAGCTGACTGATAAACACAGACGGAGGCGAGTGTCAGAAGAATTACTGCCTTGAGCAAACACACACATTCATCCAACTAGAAAAATATTGGGCTAAAAAACCTGACCAACATCAAAAAATACACACCCATACAAATCCTTCATACAACATATGATAACTAAAGAAAATACACACAAGTATTAATTACTCACATTACAATGATAAGCGGCATTTTCTCTATCCAGACATGCATTTAGGAATGATAAAGGTTGATATGCTTTTTTTTGATGAACTGTATTTTAGCCTTATCCATATCCGCTCCTATGTTTGTCAGCTGTCAAAAACACTCCTGTGTGCCCAATTAAAACACTTGACATACATGCAAAAGAAGCACTATGAGGCGTAAAGGGAAAGCTGTGAAGTTCTATATGCTCCTCAAGGAGACCTATTAAACTGGAGTGTAAGTGGGCATTGAGCAGCTGTATTGTGTCTTGATAAGGATGTCAGATCAGAGTGGTAGTAACTACATGCAACACTGTAAGCAATAATAAGAGGAAATCACAAATCGTCCATTTTAGCAGAGAACGGTGAAATATCTGTCTGACTCCTTCCCAAAGTCATGTCACGGAGACGAGCCAAGCCAGAGCCCTCGTCGCTTGCGTCGGAGCACAACCCGTGCGGGGCTCGGGCCCGATGGGCTGAGCGGATACCTACGCAGCATTAAAACACGGGCCAGCACCTGCACTGCAGACGAGTGCACCGACACAGCAGCCTGAAAACACGGCCGTTTGAAGGGAGAGGGCCCGCAGAGGTGACTTTGAGCTACTTCTGCACGCGCAGAAGGATGAGGAGAGGAGACGTTGGACTATTTTCTGACATTTCAGAAACAAAACTTAACCGTTTCATTCACTACCACACTTTTAATTGCCTTCCAGCTGCTACCATTGTACAGTATCTGCATCACTGCATTTGAAGCCTTCTCCATTGACCATCAGTCATAAAGAGAGCAAGATGAAGACGGTGACAGGCTGAGACTGCTACAGGCTGACACCAGTCTGCTGATGCTGGCAATGACAGACAACAGACATGCAAATAGGCATCAATAGACTCACAGCTTACCCTATACTGAAAATAGATGAGATGAGATAATAACACAGAGTAAGGCCGTTGAGGGAGTTTTTCAGGTTTAAAAGAGGAACACGCTGATTTCATTGATTACCACTTTGAAGCACAGAAACAGAAGCAATCAGTGAAGTTTAGCTTCTGTAGTGTTTGGGACATTCTCTCCGACCCTTTTGTTTGTGTTAACAAGGGCTGCAACTAACTATTATTTTCATTATTGATTGATCTGCGGGTTATTGTTTCCGTTTATCAAATAAAATATTGATCATAACAAAACATTGGTAGAAAATGCCAGTCACAACTATGCAGAGCCCAAGGTGACATCTTCAAATGTCTGGTTTTGTCTGAACCAAAAGCACGACAAGAAACAACAAATCCTGCCATTACAGCACTAACATGCGGTTGTTACCTAATCTGCGGGTACTAATCTAACATATTGATGCTGTGCCACTCTTTTCTCCCGCTCCAAACTTCTGCAGGGAAACAATAGCAACACTGATCCTGGCTCAACGTGTCCCGATGGCACAACAATGACGACACCATCTTAAAATCTGCCTTCGAGTACATCCACACTACTCCGTTTCTATTTGGAAACAGATTTTTCAAATAGAAACAATCTCCGTCCACACGGACGTTTCAGCTTCGTTTTCGAATTGATCTGCATCCACACGGCAACCTTCGAAAACGGACCATTAACGGACATCACGTGAGCATTAACGTACATCACGTGAGCATTAGCGTACACTGGGCATGCGCGTGACGGTGTAAACAGGAAATGGATTGGTTGCTTCGTTAAAAAAAAATACGACAGAGTAATAAAGTAGTCTTTAATAATGAAAGGTTGTGTTTGATACTTAAGATCTTCCTCTAAAATATTCTTCTATAAACTCAAACAGACACAGTTCGTGGAAAGTTTTAGAAGTTTTATTTTTCAGACTTAGTTACAGCGCTGTGGGTCTATCTCTATCTCTCTCACACACACATCAAATGTACTTTAAAATAAACACTTAAACGTAAATGTTTACTAGATTATGGGTCCATAAATGTGGTCAACACACGTCTCTCACTCATTTCCTCGGTGTTGTTGTTGTCTGTTCTCACTCGTAGCTCTGAATAGCATTTACTGCTAACTGTGGCTTCAGACAGCCGCTCCATAGGGCTGATAACGCCACTGGTCACGCCGCTCGCTAATCGCTCCAATAACAGCTGCTTCCTCCACAGAAATGTAGATAATTGAAATGCTTTTACTGCACAACAGCTGCTAGTACAGACAACAAAGCAAGCAACGCTTGAAATTCATTATCCATGTTGAAATGAATCACTGGTAGCCCTGGCTGTTTGTTTTCTTCCGGGTACGGGTCACGTGATAGTGAGTGTGACGAATTGGGGAAGGAGACGTCATGGCTGCTAAGAACCAATCAAGTAGCGAACACGGGTGTGGGCGTCATCTTTTCTAAACATATCCGAGGTGTGTCACACAGTAGGTGAGAAATACAACAGGTCTGGCTGAGGTGACTTGCACTTCACGTTTTTCAAGTCTGGGCTGCGTTCCAATCACTGGCTCCATCGAACAGAGACGAAAGCTGGGAGTGTCCTTTAAACAACTGGGCGACCAATAATTTTTCCATCGTCACATCCAAGTGCAAAACTAAAAACAGCTGAACTGCCTCTGCGGGGCTTGAAGCACTGGCATCTCCATAACCCTGTACGTGACATTATCAGGGATGAATAGGACATTGATATGTATGCGTTTAAAACTGATGACTCGTTAGGTCTAGAGCTGAAACAATTAATCAATCAACAGGAAATTAACCAGCCGCTACTGTGATGATGAATGAACCAGAGTAACTTACGTTACTGTCATAATTATTTCATTTCATAGAGTTAACAGTGCATTATTTAATCAAAAAATAATAATCAATAGATGAATGGATCATTAGTTGCTGCCCTAGTTAGGATTGAGGTTGGGTTAATGTGAGGAAAAACACAAATAGATGGGAAACAAACAAATAGTTTAATGGTAAAAGATATGTTGTCTTAAATGCCATCTGACATTAACACCTTGATCACATTGTCAGTCCAATATTATGAACATCAACGACACCTAACTCCATTCCACAACAGCTACCGTGATGGTATCGATATCTGTCATCATTTCCTGTTGTCATACAACAAATCATTAAATGACATAACGTTAATCTTGTACATTTGCCAAAACAGTATATACGAGATGAATTTCAGCCAGTGTGTAACAACATGATAGGCTAGTTATGAACCTTATTAAACGGGGTTAATGAAGTCGGCACAATCTACCGGTGACAGATAGTAGAACTAATGCTAGCGACTGTTAGCTAACTAGCTGACAGACTAGCTCCAAAGCTCACAAACTGTGTCAGATGTAAGATAAACGCAAAATCGATCAAACAACAAATTTTGACTGAAGTGAAACTTCTTCACAGCCTAGCTGACACGTTTCTTAAACAACACAGATTCTGTCTTTACACTGACAAACGCGTCTGGACAGTTTCACCTGATCGAGTTTACCTAAAACTGGTACCCAACATTAGCAAACTGCTAGCTGGGTTTAGCTAATGTTAGCCAGCTGGTTAGCCACCTTCCACAAGTCCAAAACTGCTTCTAGATGGTTCACTAACTAGATGTATGACATACTGGGAGGAGCGGTGGTTTCTTACCCTTTATAATACGCTTTCACCCGGACTTGGTGTGAGTTCTCGCCCGGGTGGGACATGGTGCTGTCCCGCAACGTCGGCATCATGAGCTCGGCCGTGGTCAGTCCGAGTCTTTGGCTCTCTAGTTGTGTACCACGCCCCCAAAACACGTTGTTTTTAAAGTCCGCCGAGACACCGAGGGAACAAGGAGGCAAGTGTAGATGAAAATAAAGAGTTTGGCCTTCCTTGGAGAAACAACAATAACATGTAAAGTAAAGAAAAACTTGCGGGATCCACCAAACAACTCCCTACTGCAAAGGCCTAACGATGGACGAGTCCATTGTCGGAATGCTTGGGGGTGGCGCGCGCACACGCGCACACACACACACACACACACACACACACAGACATGTATACTGGCGCTCAATAAATATTGAACATTGAAATCTATTGTTCTATACATATTTTAAGTGTACAATGTACAAGAAACATATATTATATGTTTAATATCTCTGAAAAGGTAAATATATACTTTGCCTGCATTCCGACTGTACCAAGTGAAGCACTTTATATGGGTAAGTGCTGCTTTCATGTGCACACATCTGTGCTCGGACATCGTAGAAGCCTTCGAGATATGTCGCGCATTCAAGTGCTTTGGTTTGGAAATAACAACAAAATTGACCAGGAACAAAAGTAAAAGAGTTTGTGAATGTCCATTTGTTGTTTTAGAAATGAGTGAACTACTTTGTGCTGCTGTGCTAGTATGAAGAAAACAAATATGTGATTGATAAAAGAAAATAAAGAAGGAAAAAACATTAGCCTACAAACCACAATGATTGTTTGCATGGACTACAAAAATGTAATTAAACAATAACTCCAAATACTAGCATTATATTTATTTATTATATTTATTTATGTCATGCAATGCTACATTGGGCTACAATAACAAATACAGGCTACAGCAACTTAACATACTAATAATATTAGCTCTCTCTCTCCCTCTCTCTCTCTCTCCTCTCTGTCTCTCTCTTTCTCTGTCTCTCTGTCTCTGCTACGCTCCCTTTTTCTCTCTCTCTGTCTGTCTGTCTGTCTGTCTGTCTCTCGCTCTCCCCCTCTTTCTCTCATTGTCTCTCTCTTTCTTTCTCTCTTTCTCTCCCTTTTTCTCTCTCTCTCTCTCACTTTCTGTCTCTGTCTGTCTGTCTGTCTGTCTGTCT